GTGACCGTGGAATATATCACATCATTCATATACAAACTCAAGACTGGTCTTCCCTGTCTATCCCCAAAGGGCCTCTCACCCATGACTTAATTACAGTACAAATAGATTTGTTGGTGATTCCTTTATTTCTTCTTTAACGTGACAGTGGCATGGACAGCAAAATATGACTGAGGCTGAGTTGCATGGCATGTAAAGAAATCTGGACAGCTGCGAAATTTCTATACTTACGAATAACACGCAAAAAAAATCCTGGCAAATTTGGGGAATGGGCTACTCAGGCACTTTCAGAGCTGGGCATGATTCTGCCCAGATTAGTCACGTGACAGCTTTCTGCCCTAGAATTGTATCAGAGTAATTTGAATTTTTTGTCACAGAGCCAGCCCAAGAAAAGGTGGAAATAGAGAGCCTACAGAACAATGGGACCTTATATTTTCGCTGTCTGCGATTACATCGACTGTATGGACTTATATACTATTCGTTATGTTGACAAAATACTCTCACCAATCTATTTCTCCACTTGTAGTGAACTTTGACTTTTTTGGCTGTTGTCTGAAATGAGGAAGCCTGTGCTAACAAGTCATCTGTGAAACCAAAATCAAATAAAAAAGGTACCAGATCACTTTTAGCATCGTGTGCAGCATTCGAGTAAATGCTGAGTGTTGAATAGGATTCGAATTACTTTGGGGAGAAAAAAGTGCCTTCCAGCCACTTATGGGTGCTCAGTACGGATGCTCAGTACATGGGTAGCTGTTGATACAGGGCTGCTAGTTCAAACTGAGTAAGTATCAACAAGGGCAATTAATTCTGAAGCCCAGTCAGAGGCAGATCCAAAATCAATGGCCTTATAAGGCAGGGTCCAGATGCAATCCCTTCGCCAGCTTCGGGCGTTGGAGGGGGCACAGTTCCAGCTGTGGGGCACGTAGCAAAAACAACAGATTTTTATGCTCGTGGTTCCCCCTCCCCCGTCCACTTTGCGACGGGCTTTGTCCGCATATACCCACCAGCGTTGTCCAGTAAGTCGTCCAGTTTCTCACCCCTCTCCAGGAGCTTATCCACGCTGGTGTGGAGAATGATGGCCACCTCATCCACCTCCGCTTGGAGCTTTTCCACGCGCTTATTCTTGGCTTGAGTTGAGGGGTCGGTATGATCGTCCGCGCCAGGGTAGGTCCTGGCCCTGCTCCTGATGATGTGTAACGGCAACCAGAATGTGATTTTATACACCACCTTTTACTGCACGTGTGCTAGCAATGAGTGTGTCCATAATATAACCTTTGACCTTGCGGGTTCCAGAAATGTACGATACACAAATACGTTCCACAGATGCAGTCCCTCTTTTGCCATTACTTTGTCTCATCCGTCCAGCAAATTATATGAGACTTCATACAAAATAATTCACGGTGAATGATGCACCAACCGTGACTCGGGCTGTCGAAATTATAACAGTATGTCGTGAAAGTGGTACCTCCACTCCCAGGCAGTCCCTTTTGGAAATGCACTTGATCATATGAAAGCAAATTAAGCGTGTTTACAAAAAACCTACGAAAAATCTCCCCTCAAGCTGCTTTTTGGGAGAGGGTTACTGTTCAAAAATATTTTTAGTACTTGTACTTCACAGAAAGATCGATGCAGGTGTACATTAATCAATCACGGTCCATTCTTTTGTTTACAAACACTTTTATTTTTTGTTAATCGATTTCAGTTTGAGCGAAAATGCGGAGACCAGTTTTTCGTAGCGGCATGATACTAAACATATCAGAAACAGGCCATTTTTACACTAAGTTGCCTGCAGCCCGCCCTGTCAAGACGAAAGACCAACTTGAATGTATCATTTTACTTGCACTATTAAATTCAGTCAGCAATCCCACGAAGACGTTCCAGTGGTCTCTCTGTGACGGTCAGCTAGGTTTGTAAGTACAGCGCATGTGCGCTCGCAAAAACAAATACTGTAGCAGGTCACATTCAATCGGACGGAGGGTTAACCTTGCTATGAAACCACTGTCTCGCTTCACTGTTACAACCTGGCTTAGGAGAGTTGAATCATAGGTTGAGTATAGTTGAGACTAGATTCACACATGAAAAGTGTGTGGGCCTACATATATACTCGTATCGCAGGCCCTATATCATAGTACATGTATATGGGCAATTCTTTCAGAAGTAGTCATGATTTTTTTGATAACACCAAGTCCCATCACTTCATATTTTATATGTTGCACACAAAAGTAGTAGGTGTAGGCCTATACATGTACATGTACAGTACAAGTAATATGTATATGCGCGCGAGCCAGTAACCTTGAGCATAGTAACAGATAAAACATTGTATCCACACCCTGCAAACCTTTTTTTACAGGTACACATCCAACAAGCAGACAAGCCTGTTGCACTGAAATTGAAATTTTATAACTTACATGGTGCCTGGTCAGTGGTCGATGAGGGAGAAGGTCAGTGTCATCACCAAGCAGACACCAGCGGGAATTTACCGGCGCATGACGATGTTTTGTAGAGCAGACGGTGACACTGTCGATATACTTCGCTACTGAGCTATATCAGCCACTACATGACTCGCACCGTCATGCAGTGTCAACACTGTCAGACACAGCCCGTCATGGCTCAACGCACCGACAAACTTCCGCACAGCCGACTCGGATAAACAATCACCACGACGCATGCACATGTACACACGTACAGTCAAAAGAAGCCAACTGCATGCAAAGTGCAGGAATCATGGCGCTACAATTACATGAACCCTTCAAGTCGATTGGTACAGGCATAAGCGTTTGATAGAAACTAGACAAGGGACTAATATTTATCACAGGACTTATATTGGCAAAACACATCTGCATGCCCAATTACTTCATACTTTTCCTGTTAGAAGCAATGTCAGTTGAAGCGAACAACTTGAGTTTTGTGAAGATTCAGCTTAACTTGTTTTCACACACATTTCTCATTTTACAAAACAATACGGCGATCCAAATACTTCTTTTCATAGGAAGTGACATGATTGCGGTGGTTCGCCCAGTCTTTGAAGATCCTTTCACCAGTGTTTAAGAGGGCGCTATTTTGTTTCGCACACAAGGCATCCTTTGTTAAACGAGAACACAAAAATCACACAAACAAATTACCGACGAACAAAGGTTTGAAGAAATATTGGCCATTTCTATTGTCCAACAAGCTGCTTAGCACCAAAGAGTAGAACTTTTCAAAGAAAATTTGGCTCATCCGATATCCAGCATCTTAAATCCAATAATAATTTAAGAACTTGAAACTCCAGAAAAGGACGAAGTTCAAAGTGAACTGTTTAGCGTTTTCCACTTTGGAAATAACCAATTTTTTAATGCGATATGATATATTGAGTTCAAATATTAAAATAACTATAAACAGAGATTATCAAATTTTATGAGATATACCATTTTTCCCACAAACATTACACACTCAAGAACGAAAATTTTGGAGCATTCACGATAACACTAAAAAGGAATTTATGCGATTACCAAAGCAAGGTTGAATAACTATATTGTATATGGAATAGTATTTTTAAATTAAATTCAAACAAATCACATTTCAAAGTGAAACAATACCTTCAAACATTCATCCCACTCCATTCTCTCCTCATCATCATGCTAACAATTTATTTCTAATAACAAGCGCATACTAATTGGTCTGGATTGGTTTGGTTTTTTTTCCGTTCATCATAATTAGAACATAAAGAAACAATGTTATTACAGAATGAAGTAAGCAGTGATAAGTGGCGGATGCCAGACAGAAGGCGAAACGCTTATTCATGGCCTGGTTCCTTATTTGTTGTAAGTAATAAAATCCACATGAGGCTATAATTACTAAATACAGAAGAGGGAGTAAAGAGAGTAAGATAACTGAAGGTACAGCTGAAGGTTAGAATTTAACAAGATTTTGGTTGTCATAACATCTTAGGAATGATACAATTCTAGACATGACTGTTTTATTATTAAGGTTATAAATACATGTACAATGCAGGGTAAATAAACTATACTGGAAAAGAGGATATTCTTCAAGTACTTTTTAAAACCATGTATACTTCTAAAGTAGGGTATTGGGGTGATTTTATTCCAGAGCAAAGGACCTTGATGTCGAACTGTTTTAAGAAATATTGTAGTTCTTGCCTTTGCAATGTGAAACTTGGCTACTGGCCTAGTACTACATGAGTGGACTTCAGTGTTCCTCAGAAACAATGATAACAACGAAAGATTGCTACAAGCCTGCATCTACATTAAGAAGAATGATCCTCTCATCGATCGAAAAATTGTAATACATGTACAGTCAGCGATGGCCAATTGGTTTGGAATACCGATTTCCAAAAGCGACCGCACGCGATAACCACGTGTAGGCCATAAGCACAGAATTCTGCCTACCGATGAAGAAGCCAGGCTTGTTCCAGCCACCTCATTACCAGGCCGATTCCGCTCCTTTGAAATTCCGTCCACATCTATCTAAAAGTAACTTTTGTAATTGTCAGATCAATCCAGTCTATGGTTTGGGTGTAACGGTCATTTTGAAGTTCATGGCCTCATGCCTGCCAGCCTGGATTGTGCATTCGGCATGCCAATGGGAAAATTTTCTGCTGCACTGTCTTGGAAAAATAAGTGTTTTGCGAGAACGGTACCGTGGCCTCAGGGACCTCTGCTACATAAGTTGCCATCCTGTCAAAATGAATTTGCATCACATCACGGATTATGACAACTAGAACCATGAACCAAGTTCAAAGCGAGATTCAGCGTGCGTGCCTTCTGTCTGCTAGCGCGTTCAACGATGATGCTATCAAGTTCGGACGCAACAGAGCGTGTAGGCCTAAATAAAGTGAGCTCAGCAAAGTTTCCTTGCAACAACTACCCAAATACGCGACACGAACTATGCCTGACTTTTATAGGTTTCACAACGACTGTTAAGTCTCGCACATTCCTAAATTTCGTTGCAAAACTGAGCGTATATGTGGCTGGCATCAAGGACGTCAATCCGTTTTGAAAAATGGGGGGGGTGCCTCATCAGAACAAATGAAAGCGCGAAGCGCTGAGTGGCGTGGGGTTCGAGGCCTGTTCAAGGGCCCGGAAAATGTTTGAGTATAGATGCTGTGTGGTGTGATATGAGACAATTTCCGGCTTCTTTAACCAGTTTTTTGACAAATGCTTTTGCAAAATTTGTTGAATTTTTCAAGTAACCAGGAAGCATCAACAAGGGTTAAAAATAAACAAACGTTGTTCTCATCTTTAAAAGGTGCACCGCTAGAACAAGCACCATGATGGATGGGAAAGTTTAAATAACACTTTCTTCATGTTGTTAATTTTTCCTTTTTTTAGTTTATATATTTTTTGTTTTCTAAGGGGCCATTTAAAAAGATGAAATACATGCACAACCTTATTATGTCGCAGGTATAGAGAAACGGCCCTCGAAAAACGCTGATACAGAATTATAAATGAGTATTATACATAACGGAATTAGTACTTTAAATTTAGCACGATTAAAAGAAGTGCATCTTATACCTAACGGCAAATAAAACAAACCCTATGTTTTCTACTTTTGAAGTTCTTCAAGCAGAGCTGGCTGGCACAGTGACTTCGATTCATTTTGTGATCATCTATCGACCACTGGGGCCTGCTGTTTGCGCATTTCTTGATATGTTTGCTTCTCTTGTTGACACCTACCTCTTTGTGCAATCATCATTGGTCATCACAGGAGACTTCAACATTCACATGGATAACCCATCAGCTGTACACCCGTCTCAGTTTTTTTGATGTGCTGACTTCTCATGGACTGAAACAACATATTGGTGTGGCCACTCATAAACGAGGCCACATCCTTGATCTTATATCACGCTCCGATGATCACTGTCTCTCAGACATTCGTGAGAGGAAGAGGGCATTTCAGATCATAAAGCTATCTTCTTTACGACACCCTTCCGTAAAGCAACAACTCCTGTAAGTACAATTGTCTCTAGAAATCTTTGGTCAGTCGATATTGATGCTTTTGCTGAGATCTGTATTGAGTCATCGACGGATCCTTGCTGAAGTGTCTCAAGTTACTACATTACCTTGCGCAAAATCCTCGACAATCATGCACCGGCTAGGACCCGATTAATTAAAATGCGTCAGAATACTCGATGGTATACCCAGGAGGTGTGCGAAGCTACACGTAAACGTAGACAGCTGAAGCGAAAATGGCGGTCTTCCAGACTTAAATTGACCGCCAAATGTACTGCAAGACAGCGTTGCCATACAATAGCCATCATTCGCAAAGCCAAGTGCAGCTATTGTTCAAATGTTGTTGGCGAGTGTAGTGGGGATCAGAGAAAACTTTCAACGTTGTTAACAAGATGTTGCACAGGAACGTCGAGTCACCGCTGCAGCGCGCTGCCATCCCATGATTGCAAAGTAACTCTGGCTAATCATTTCAGCCAGTTTTTCGTCTCCTAGGTATCCGCCATCCGTGCTAATCTGCCTCCGCCTCAATGTAAATCTGCAGTGTCACATTGGACATCTGAGCCATCTATCCAGCTGCCAACTTTCGGTGCAACCTCATCAGAAGAAATCAAGCGATTGATTTCCAAGGCACCAGCAAAGTTGTGTGGACTTGATCCGATTCCTACATCTATTCTAAAGCAATATGTGGATGCCATCGCTCCTGCTATTACCAGCATTATTAACCAGCGCATGAAAACAGGGATTGTACCCACCTCCTTGAATTCAGCGTTGGTCCTGCCACTCTTGAAACATGGCAACTTGGATCCTGATATTCTGCATAATTATCGTCCAGTGTCGAATTTATCTTATTTATCAATATTGCAGGTGCGCGTGGTTTTCAACAGACTGTCGACATTTCTTCCAACGAATGATCTTCTGGATAAGCGACAGTCAGCCTATCGCTCTTATCACAGTGTAGAAACTCTACTCACTCACTTATCTGGTCACATTCTCCAACAAATGGAAATTGGAAACGAAACAGCCATTGTATCACTATATCTACCTGCAGCTTTTGATACAGTCGATCATACGATACTGATAAGTCGCTTGGCATCACTTGGCATTAGTGGATCTGCGTTGAAATGGTTCACGTCGTACTTAAGTGACCGTTCGCAATCAGTCTGCATCAAAGATGTTCATTCCAGATCAGTTAGTGTTGTCTGTGGAGTTCCACAGGGGTCAGTTGGTGGACCATTACTCTTCTCCATATACATCAGTACACTTGGACAGATAATTCAGCAATATGGCGTCAACTATCATTGTTATGCAGATGAAATTCAGCTGTTCACATCGGTCAGTCCAAGACCATCGAGTGTAGCAGTTGCCATGGAAAAACTTCAGGCTTGTGTTGATTACATTCGAAGATGGATGAGCTCAAACTGTCTCAAGCTGAATGACGAAAAGTCAATGTTCATGCTATTTGGTAGTAAAAGTAACCTCGCTAGGCTAGATGTTGCACCAGTACAAATTGGTCCTACCCCTGCTTTCCCAACAGCTCAGAATCTTGGGGTCATCTTTTACAGTCATTTGTTATGTATCCAAGTCGGTTAGGTTTCACTTGCGCAACATCGGTTTCATCCGCAAATACCTGACTAATCGGCAACAGAGCAGTTGGTACATTCACTGATATCATCGAGACTCGACTACTGTAATGTACTCATGTACAACTTACCTCAATATGAACTTGACAGGCTTCCACAACTTCAGAACGCTGCTGCGTGGCTGGTGGCATGGACCAGACAATCTGATCACATTACTCCAGAGTTAAAGTCGCTTCACTGGTTACCTGTACGGAATCGGGTAACTTTTAAAGTTCTCCTGCTAACTTACCACATTCTCAATGGGCCTGCACTCTCATATCTCACTGATGCACTACCTCCATACACTCCAACGCGGAATCTTTGCTCATCACAATTCATCTCATTTGTCGTTCCCCGTGTGCACTGTTTGTGGGAGCCCCGGGCTACAGAGAATGCTGCAGCATCACTATGGAACAGTTTGCCAGCGCATTTGCGACTTAGCTTCTTCCTTGGGCACTTTTAAGAAACATTTGAAAACTCACTTATTTGCATTGGGAATGCTGTAAGACCTTTGCATTGGATTATAATTATCAAGGTAATCATATTGAGTCAGCAGCTTCCCTCACGTTGTGTTATTCTGTGTGTGGTCGTCGATGTTTGTCTTGTCGTTCTTGTTATGTTTTCTGGTTGTTGCTATTGTTTGGAGCTATATATGCCAGTTGAAGCCAGTTGTTTGTGTTGGGTGGGGTGTCTGTTGTTAAGTCGACTGTTGTTATTTGTCAGTGATTTTGATACCTGCTTATTTCATGGTGTAGTTATTTTTCATAGTATAAACTACCTTTTTAATTCTAAGTTTTTTTTAAATGCAATGTGGTTGTTCTATTTTTATGAGTTGATCTGTGGTTTAGGGTTTGGGTAGGTGTCGGTTGTTCAACTGCTGTTCGTTGGTTGTTTCTCAATTCCTTCAAACTTATGTTTATGTTTTATACTCCTTACGATTTTTAAATGCTGGTTCTTAGAGTTAATCTTTTTATATCCCACTTAACAAAAGGTTTTAAGAAATTTTACCTTGATTGGATTTTTTGTTAATTATTTAGTTTCTGGAAAGCGCCCTGAACATTTTTATGGATTTGGCGCTATATAAAATTATTACTATTATTGTGTTCTTCCACAAAAGAAAACTGAAATACGTAAGAATTGAAAACTCAATTACATGTGACAGAAAGGGGGACACAGTTGAAAGTGAACTGGTTAACGTTCTTTACTGAGGAAATGAAATAATCATTATATGATGACACGAGTTCAAATATGAAAAATTAATCAGATTTACGAAAGTCGCCATTTGTCCACGGACGATTCAAACTCGAGGAAACCTTTGAAAGCTTTCACAGTAACTTTAAAAATGAATAAATGCGATTACCAAAGTAAGGTCCGATAACTACATTGTTCATACATGTATATTGGAAATTTAAAAAAAAAAGGTTTTAAAAATTGATCCCATCCTCTCCTTATCATCACATCAACACTTGGATTATATGTAATAAGAAAGATCGCTGATTACAATTTCTGAAAGGTCGCCACAGACCTTAAATCTATAAGAAGAGTGATCCTCAAGGCTCTGTCGGTCAAAAGTGACAATACGGTCAGCAATGTACGGTAAGTTGGTTTTGAATAACGATTTCCAAAAGAAATTGTACGTAATAAACGCGTGTACGCATAAAATCCTACTTACCCCTAAAGAAGCCAGGCTTGTTCGGACCATCTCACAGACGGGTAGGTTCTGACCTTTCAAAACTCCGCACAAACCTATCTTATATTGAGTGCATCAGGTATTTGTCAGTTCAGTCCTTCCTGTCAGCCCAGTGTGTGCATTGTAAAAAGATACTGGCTGAACTGTCTCCCAAAATAGTGTTTGGCGAAAACGGTTCTACAGATTTCACAAAGTTAGCATCCAATGACTGTAAGACATTACCAAAACTAACAAATAAATGCCGACATGTGACGATATTGGGGCAAAGGTCCAGAGGGTGGATTCCAACCCAGGATCTCTTTGTTTTCACAGTTAGGGCTTACATCATAACAGCGCCCTCCTACATCAACAACCTGGCAGCCACAACCGCCAAGACAGAAACACACAAAAGAAAGAAAATGACATTGTAGTGGGTGTCGTCTACTTTTGGGTAAACAGGCCTGGTCTTGGTAGGTTCCAGCACCCGCTCCCAAACCGTATTGATGGCCTTCCTGGCCTCCTTCTTCGACCCTGGGCCCACTAGCCGGAATTGATACGGCACATGGGGGCCGAACAGGCACCGGAGGGTCAACACAGGATCAGAGAAGAACAGCTTCAGGAAATTCGGCCGCACTCCGATCTCGGACGCGAGGCTGTTGCAATACGCTAGGGGGTCAACGTGACGATGGGAGGGTAGAAAAGCATTTTTCATTGCCTCATCTACAGCCTTCACCTCAGCTTCCATTTCCGTCTGGGAAGGAAGCTCGGCCAACCCTTTAAAAACCCTCGCAGCCCAGCGCGCCTGTAGCTCCACACACGGCATAACCCCCCCAAAGGGTCGACAGGCCCCGTTGACCGACAACGTGCTATGTTTCAAGCCGAGCGGAAAAAGCAGCTTGTACAGTGGCACGTGGCCTTCTGGCATCTCCAAGGCCTCGCAGTCTACCTGGAAGGGCAGCGTGTCCTTGTAGCCAGTGGCCATGATGACAACGTCGACGTCGTCCTCGCTGGTACCGTCTTCAAACACCACGCCCTTCTTTGTGAATCTAGCAATGTTTGTTTTGACGATCACTGCGCCGTTGAGGATACAACCAGGCAGGTCATCAGATATGAGCATCTCGCAGGCCCCCAAGTCATGCGCAGGCGTCAGAGGATTGTACAGCATTCCTAACCGACGTCTCAGCTCTTTCTTGAACAGTGTCAAGTACAGCTTCGTTGGGATCCAGAAATACCTTCTGGAAACCTGAAGATCCCAAGGGATACCGTAATCTACAATACGATTCATCATCCAAGCGCCTCGTCTGGCACTCAAGAACACCTGTTGCACAAACAATTATCAATGGAATTTTTAAAAAAACACATTTTAAATAAATACTACTAAGCAAGTTGAAAGAAATTATTACCATCGACGCCGACATGGGACAAAAGAGTTTAAAGTGAAACGCAGAAGACTTTCCCACTGATTTGTCAGGAACCATTTAGTGCATGACCTCCATGCGAGAAAATTTACGAAAGGTGGTCATTATTTATAGATCTCCGTTTGACCAATGGCCTTTGAACCAACCTGTGATGCCAGACGGCTCACGTCGGCAGCCGCATCTCCTGCAGAGTTACCAATCCCAACCACCACCACTCGCTTGCCTTCAAATGCCTCTGGCCTTCGGTATTCGTGGCTGTGCATAATCTTCCCCTGGAACTCATCAAGACCTGGAAACTCTGGGATGTAGGGGTTGTTAAACATTCCTGTACAGATCATGACAGCGTCGAACTCCTGGCTAGTCTCCTCCTCGTCACGGCTAACCACCTCCTCGGGTTGAGTAGTGACGACCCATCGCCCGTTAGACTGGTAGTCTGGAGCCTGGGCCAAGCAGGTCACCTTAGTTGAGAAATGGATATGCTTCTTCAGACCAAATTCGTCGGCGTACATGTCGCAGTACTTCTTTACGTAGGAGTTGTGGAGAAAATTCGGCCATTCCTTAGGGAAGGGGAAGTCGCTGTAGCACGTGACCTCTTTACTGGTGTTGGTGACGGTCGACCTGTAGACTGAGGCTTTTAGTTTGCGTTCAGTGTCGTCGCAGTAATACCAAAGACCACCGACGCCATCTGACCTCTCAAAGCATGTTGGTTGAAGGCCTTCGTCCAGGCAACACTTCACTGCTGCCAGACCGGTCACACCGCAGCCAATAATGGCGACTTTCTTGCTGCTTTCTCCCATCTGGAAATGAATAAAATGAATTGTTCAAGCATTGGATATGTTATAATTTGCCAGCAACAACAGAAATGTTGCGGATATATCGCCCATTTTTAACGGAAGCCGAAAACTGCTACCCCCTATATGGGGAAGCATTCCCCGGCCTCATCGGCTGAAAAGAGCTATGGGGGGGGGAGGTGTCCATTTTGTTGGTAGCAACGCGACCATAATGCATGTATTTCATTGTCGTTTGTGAACCAGTGAAGTACATATCCCACCATCCGGCTAAGAATATTGCACCCTGTCTTGGTCCAGCTCGTGGCTCATTCGTTTACACCGAATACAAAGAAAGAGTACGGTATCCATCGAGTGTTTTCCTGCCAAAGCGGTCAAAGAGGCACGTGAAGTTAAAGGGTGGAAGAAGTAATACACAAGCAGCATGAAAGCCAGGCTTAACATTTATTGCAGTTTGAAAGTCTGCTGTTTTGACACGGGAGAGCTTTGGTGGTGCGGGCGGTGGTGCAGCCGTCAATCTCTTGACCATAACTTATTTTGTGACCGCTTGTAGGATCCGGGGCTGATTCCAGTTCCAATTGTTCTTGCGAAAAGAAGCCAGCAGTGCACCGCGACAGCAGACGCTGCTGGGGAGTTGGGTATTCCTACCTCAGGGATGTTCCTTAACTCGAGGTTTGCTTTCCATTTAAGCATCACAGACGTTCTTGTCAGCTTTGACTGCCAATTCGGCTTTAAAAACTTGGATTAACTGTGGCTTGGGGTACTGATAGTCGAAATCGTTCCTAAGCTGTGTGAAGCTGTAAACTCTCGTGATGCAAACTTTTGGACTACATGTAGGCCTATTATCAGTTGATTACGATGTACCAAACAGTGTTGTAGTCGAGACCGGATAGCCCGAGACCAAGACCTGAAGTTGCGAGACCGAGACTGAGACCAACCTCTTCAAAGTGGACCGAGACCAACCTTTCCGAAGTGGACCAAGGCCGGTCTCGAGACCTCCATCACTGGTGCAAAATACAATGAGTGGCGATTATTGCCTTTAAAACCTTGACAAAAAATCTTTCTTCAAAACTATTTAACCAAATTATTTCATCATTATTCATCATTCTGACATACGTCCACAAACAAAACTGTTTTTTTTTTCACTTATATTTTAATTTCATCATGCTTCAAAGGGATGCATCTCAGTGACCGCGTTTCACGAAGGCGCGCAAATATGACTACCCTCGACGACCACGTACAAATCCCCACTTAACGAAACGGCCTTAGAGATATCAAAACGCACTCTAAAGACTGGCTGAAAAAGGTCAACTCGGATTTTAGGTTTTCTTATTTACTGATTAATGTGAGTTAAACAATTATTTACAATGAATATAGTCGAGCGCACTATCAAGTTTAGCTTCCAAGGAGGCAAAACAAAGCTTTGTTCAAAAGCTCTACTTCCTGCAGTTTAAAACAGAGAAACACCTTGTCCGGAAAAAAATTGTCGGCAAAATCGACACGCTCGCCCCGTCATGAAATAGTGAACATATAGGTGTTTAATCGGTCAGAGCTGGTCTGTGTACCACACTATATCCCTATGCCTCCGTAGTGTACACTTTTGGCCGGTACGGTTCCACCACATCACATAAGCGCCCACAGAAAAAAACACACATAAATTTGACAGAAATAGCGACTACCGGTATACGGTGACGATCACGAACAAAGTGGCCTGTGGTGTCTCACTTGTTGAAATTCCAGATTCTATGTCATCCTAGTCGTCATGACTCACCCTGTGTTATCGCGGCCCTCAGTAACGCGGTCTGAACCACTCTTTGCGTAACTTATAAGGCAGATCAAAAGTAGGCCTAATTGCTTATCGTAATTTTGATTTGTTTTACAAAAGTCCCATCTTTTCCACCTTCCAGACTACTCCGCCTCGCAAGAAAATGGTCTCGTCTTTGTCTATACCGCAGAAGTCTTTCGGGGGTCATGCGTTCTGTTATACTGTTATTTTGTAGTCTGAATCGTGTCCGACCTCTATAGTCGCTATGGACAATTTGTCCGATAGCATATTGCATTGCAAAGGCTCTCCAAGCTGATAAAAATCACTTTGGATGAAAATAGAAATTACATTTGCTCAACCTAAATGGAAAA